GAGAGAGAGAGAGAGAGAGAGAGAGAGAGAGAGAGAGAGAGAGAGAGAGAGAGAGACTACGCAGGCTGTAACGCCCGCGTAAATTGAGGAAGAGGGGGCTGGCTTGCGGGGGCCGAGGCCGCCGCGCCGCCCCCCCCACCAAACACGCCTCGACGCAGTTGAGCCAGTCGGTCCTACCAGTCGGTCAGCGGTGTGTCCGCTGGCAGCGCCACCAGTGGCACGTGCGGCGACTTACAGATCCAAAATCACAACCAACGCAGCACTGAGTACGTACCCACAGGCTACTCGTAATCAAGGGTGCACAGTTGCACGTGGGGCACTTTTTGGTGGAGAGGGGTCTGTCGTCCTTCAAGCCCGGGCCGCTGCTCACTATGATCGTCCTTGCCTGGCAGCGGCAGCGCGCAAGCTGCCTGGTGACCTGCAGCGGGTGGCGCTCTCACACCCTGCGTGCTGGTGGCAGACAGGCTGTGGCGGACGCTGTGGCGCATGCAAGCAGGCCGAGCCGCACAGGAGTTGCTGTGCCCGCCCTGCGGCTCTATGTTGTAACGTGTCTGGCGGGCTGGGCATGTGATGCCCGAGGCGGAGCCGGAGGCAGTACTGTAGGGCAAAGAAATGTGCGTTCAGGGTCCCAAAAACAATTGAGTTCAAGACCAACACCACCCAATGCATGTCGAACAGCACTACTTCTGATGGTAGCTGGAGGGGGGGGGCGGCGACAGCACTATGGACGTGGGCACGGTGGGGTCGCTCGCGGCTCAGCTGCAGGCCTTTTCTTTTGGGGACCGCATAGTCCGTGGTTGGCTACGACCAGCGTGTTGTGGATTCTTCGCCTCCTCCTACTGTAACACAGCGCCTACTTCTCAGTTTCGGGCGAGGGGGGCGGGGACGACACTCACCTCAACAGCTCGCACTCGCTGAGCTAGCTGTTGCACGGCTCAAGACGCATCGCTGCAGGTATGTATGTCGCTTAGCGCGCCTGCTTGCAAGTCCAGCTTGGCGGGGCGGGGTCTGATGCCGTGCCGCAGCACATTCAAGCATGCGCGAGCACGCCGCCGTGGGTGGCGGCGCCGTGTGCTGGTGACAACATGATGCCTGGCGCTGCCTGCACGCAACATGTGTGCCGGCAGTTGTGCAGCAGGGGTCGGCAGTGTTATGCATTTGCTCACTTGCCTGATTTTCTTATGCATCTGCAGCCTTCACTGCAACGACAGGTGTTCTCCTTACTTGCTGCTGAGGGCTACCAGCGGCTCCTCCCCGCTCCTTGGCATGCAAGGACCAGGAAGGAAAGCTGCAGAGTTTCTTTACCGCAAAGCGTGATTCGGTGTCATGACCTGTGGTTGCCTGCTGTGTGAGGGTGTGGGGCTGCTGACAAGGCCTGATATAATTACTGGCTGCCTGGCCCACACAGCCAGGCGGCTCGGGCCCCCTGGCCCAGAGGGGATAGGTGGTGGCATGGTCAGATGGTAGGTCTCATGTCGGTTTTTGCTCGGCAGGGGTGGTCCTCTCTTGAATCAGTGACGCTTTGCGCTCCCTGCTTATGTGACCCCTCTGAAACACCAGTAGTATGGGCCCCATACTTCTGGTCTGCCAGCTGCGCTTCCTGGGGCTGCGTGCCAGCGCTGCGGCGGCAGCGCTTGAGCACTATGAGCAAAGTGAAGCACGGCACACCTCCCGGGGGTGCCCGGAGTTTTGGGCTGAGCTGGCAGTATCAACAGTAATCAAATACTCCACTATCATGCATCGGCATGAATTGCTGCCATGCCAGCGGCAAAGCCAAGTGGAAGCCGTTGTCACTACTGGCGCTGCTGGTACAGCAAGCCGAGAGTGTGAGAGCACAGAGCAACCTCACTCACACCCACATCACTCACGCCTGAATCATGCCCGCGTGAAAAAGGCTTGGTTATCGACATAATGGATCGTTCAGCCGCATGGCACCATTAGCACAGCCCGGGATGCCGTGGTCATCAATCACTGCGGTGATTCCCTTGCAATCTCGCGCCAGAGGCCCATCACCGGTCACGGCCAAGTGAAATTATACACTCAAAATTATCAGAAAATCTTCTTGAAGAGTATTACGCGTGGTCCGGTGAAGACTTAAGTACAGTACAGCGGGGCTGCGACGCAGCTGGACGTCACCAGATTAGGGTGAGCAGCGCTGGCGGAGGCCGGTAGTTTTGAGCAAAAGCCTGATCAAGGCAGGAAGTACAACAGTGCACTGTAAAGTTGTATTGTCCCCCTTGAGCCTTTATCACTGCACCCCGTGTCTCCTGGTGGCGGCCGACACCTCAGGTTGTAGTGGTCAGGACCAAATTGTGGCGAAATTGATCTGTCTGCTCCGGCAATTCTGGCCATGGGCGGGATGATTGATGGATGCACTCCTTCACAACCTTACTAATTCAAGTATTATCAACCTGCGATCATGAACCTGTGCCTGCGCCACAAACAGGCTGACAACATGGCCGCACTGCGGCAGCACCCCAGGTGGCCACTCGCTGCTCTCGTGTTGGGCGCATGCCTACTGCAGCCTGCAATGGCCCAGTGTGACCCTGGGGAGCAGCCAAAGGGCAGCAGATGCGTCCGTTGCAGTGGCAACAAGGTCTCACCAGCTGGTAGCAGGTGTGAGGCATGCCCCAAGCGCTCGAAGGCCGACCCCTCCAAGATTTTCTGCAGTAGGTTGCCCGTCTCAAGGCCAAGAGCAGGGTCCACACATGGGGGCACTGATGCTGTGAGAATTGGCACACAAGCAGCGTACGATGCCCACATGCACTGTGGTCACAAAGCAGCTGACACCGGTGTCACGCCTGCCGACTGTCTGCCCACCGTCCACGTGCTCTGCGCTTCTTGCTAGGCTGCAACCGTGGTGTCCTTGACGATGGCGTCTGTAACGAGTGCCTGCCTGGTTTTGGCGGATCCTCATGCAAAAGGGTGAGTGCACCGCGGCGCACCTGGCATGCCCACCTCAACTAAAGCATGACTGCGAGCAGCGGTAGTAAATGCACACAAGTTCCACCTGTCTGCTTTTCTCC